AGTTTTAAATTCTACATAGTTTCTAGTGTGCTTGTTAGACAAGTCGTGTACGTTCTACGTTCTGAAGTTAAGCTTCTGCTGTCCTCTGGTGGCTGCTGTAGTTATTACATTCTGTTTAACCCATTTCACGATGAATGAGAATGAATTTATAACCCTAAGGTCACATGACATTACGGAAAGAAGGAACCTGTTAAACCTCCCGATTTAACCAAGGAAGAAACTCACACTTAGAGGAGAAAAATGAATAGACTGAAATTAACACAGTATAGATAAGTGCTGGAGTACAGACAAGAAATATATTCACAGCTATGTTGTCATTCACTCACTCATTCATTCATTTCAAGGCACTGTGTTAAGGCAAGGAGATATGAATAAAGAATGGGCCCCACACTTACAAGGTGTATAAAACGATGTGTAAATAAAAAAGTGCGATATGAGTACTATACTAGAAGTTGGGTATGATAAGACCAAGATTAATAACTTCCTGGAATGCTAAGAAAAAGCTTAGGAAAGTTGAAATTCAAGTTAAATCTTGAAAATGAGTAAATGTTTAGCAGTTTTACGAGAAGCGATACATTCTAGTCGGAGGGAGTAGCACAATAAGGACACAGTGACAGATAGTTGCATGATCCTTTTTTTTAGAGAAGTAGGAGGAAGTTGAGAGTGTAGGGAAGGGATTTCAGGTAAAATGAGAGGTAAGGTTGGAGAAGTAGAAAGATCATGGACATTTTGTGCTATATCAAATCATTTGAACTTTTATTCCGTAGGTAAAGTGGATCTGCCAATTGAAGTGTTGGCGATAGTGCAGTGACATGGCTGGATTTGTGCCTTCATCTGGTGGCAGCGGAGGTGGGCAGGACTAGCCTTAGGGAGGCAGCGGAATGTTATCACTGTAAACCAGAAAGCAGATGATGAGGGTTTGGGTGAGGACAGGAACCGAATCTGCATCATCCATTGCTGTATGGCAGGTGCTTAAAACATTGACATTAAGTAAATCTTTGTTAAATGAATGAAAAGACAGTGATGGTGTGATCTCCAGTAGAAACATTCTGTTACTTGGTAGTCGTGTACACAGATAAAAGCCCAGACACACATATCGTATTGGTAACTATTTGAAAGATTGAGTTGCTTTACCTGTAAAGTTGAAAACTAAATGTAGTAACAGCTAAGTAATGAAAAGCTCTGGCCAACTGAATGTTTTGGTAAACTGAGGATGAAGACAATGACACTCTTTATCATTTTTGAAAAGTACTAATACTTTTTAAAAATGATAAACTAATACAGAATCAGTGTGGAAAATTTGGAAAATTCAGGGAAAAAAAGCAAAAAAATATCTTCCGGGATCCTATCACTCAAAGGCCACCACTGTTAACATTTTAATATATTTCCCTTCAGTCTTATTTTGACCTATTGTTTTACAAAGTTAGAATTTCATTAAATAAAAAGCTGTATTTTTCTATTACTTTACATCATTAGTTTTCCAATGTCAGTTAAAATTCTTTGTAAATAATTTTAATTGGTCACATGATGCTTCATTTGTGAGTATATCATAACTTTCTAAATAATTTTATTAATGGTGTTTCTACTTTTTTTTTGAATTTGTGGGCATAAATACCTGTTCCACATTCAAGATTATTTTCTAAAGATAGATTAGGAACATGGAATTACTGCTCATCATGGTAAGCCCTGACTAAACCAGTCATGGACAGACTCTCCTGAGACGGTGTTGCCCAGGCGATATCTGACTGGCCATGCCTGCTGATGGTCAGTGTCATATAGTTGCATTGCGACTTTCAGAGGCCAAGGTCTAGCCACGTTCGGGCTTTTCATGACATGATAGGACCTCATCTTAAGACGGTGGGTAACCATCTTGCAACCAAATGTGTGTCCTGTGAGGAAGACTCGAAAGGCCATGATCGCCGACCACTCCTCAGCCTAATACATCAATTATTTCTTGCTGAAATAGATATTTTTTGATCTTCTTGTCATAAAATGTCAATGGAATAAGAATGTATATCTCTGTGATCATTTTTGATAATTGTCAAACCTAGTTTTCTATGAGATTGTTTCTGTCAAAGGGTAGGACACATTTTAAAGATAGTTATAACTGAATCAGAATAGAAATATTTTCAGTGTTTAATTGTAACCATAATATCACAGAAAAGTAAAGTCCACAGTCACAAACCTGACAAATCTAATTGGGACAAAAAATGAAACAAAACAAAATCACAGGAAAATTGCATAAACCACAGAGTTTGTTCTCTTTACCAGATCAGAATTTCGGGGAAAGAAAATTCACTAAGGATATCTTACCCTGGCCTGGAATATCGTTAGGAAGTCTGGAGTTCTGCCAGACGAATGTGGG